AATATGAGGCCTACCTCTAGGTTTTATTACTAAGTAGAACTCATCCAGTTAAAAACTACGTGCCAAGCCCTTGATTTATTCAGCAAAAAACGGTGGAATCTTATATGCCAAAAAGTTCGTCCAAGTGTTTCCAAGTCCATGCCTAGAAGCTGTTGCTTTGATAATGATTTTGAAGCATATAGTAATAAGGCTAGTGAGCCAGGTATCTGATACAACTATTTGACAGAATGATAGCTTGTGGGAGTAGGCATATACTCATGTATCGACATCTGTTACCCTCAGAGAATTCAATGGTTTTTTATCTCTTTTCTTGATATGGAAGTGACGATCAAATGGCAGATTTCCCACTCGCCTTGATATCTGAATATATGGAGGGGTGCAATGTGTACTGAAAGTTTCATCTGCCTTTATTAATCTAGCAATACCCGTTTCAAGGTCTCGAGAAAGGTGACCTTTCCTCCCTCCTATTTGTCAACGATCTGCCAGACAAATTATCCTCACCCATCCTCCTCTTCGCTGACGACATTAAAATTTGGAGGGTGGTAGACGAAGAAGCTGACTGTAAAGCACTACAAAAGGACTTGCAGCAACTCGAGCTTTGGTGGTCGGAAGGTGGCCTGAGCTTCGACCTGGAAAAGTGCAAGGTAATGCACATCAGCAAATACGGAGCAAGTACGACCGACTTCCAGTACATGTTGAGCAACCATGCTATCACCAGAGTGTCCGTGGAGAAAGACTTGGGACTCAACTTCTCCAACACCTTGGACACCAGCTCCAGCTACGGAGGTATGACAACCACAGCGAATACCATTCCACACCTTTTGCGTAGACAGCTTGGTGCCCTCATTCCCGAACTCCTAATCACCATTTTCAAATCATACGTGCGGCCGCATTCAGAGGTTTTCAGCACGGTGGCCCCCTGAGCAGTCAAGAGAGGCTCTAATCTCCTTGAAGCAATACAAAAAGCCGCAACAAAATCAGTTGAGGAGCTAAGGGGAAAGACGTATCCTAAAAGACTTAAACACCTTGACCCATTTGCTTTGGGTTGTCGCAGGAAGAGGGGTGGTCTTATTATGGCCCACAAGATCGCCCCTCAGGCAGACCACACAAACAAATGGATTTTGCCTGCAACTCAGTGGTCTTCACGAGGAAACCACATTAAGATAGCAAACCAGAGAGCCAAAGTCATACCCAGGTCCAAATTTTTCTCCCTAAAAGTATGTGCTTTATGGAATGCCTTACAGCGACATATCGTTGTAGCTCCCTCAGCCGGCTCATTCAAGAGATGATTAGACAGTTATGTCACCTCACATGGTCTACAACAAACATACCCAAGTAGTCACCAACCTCACTAGCCCCCAAATCCCTCCAACCTACCACTCATTATCCCCCCCCTAATACACCCACATTACCTACTAATTCTTCTGCAGGAACCAAACCCACGCTACCATTCTCGCAATTCCCACATACTTTTCTGTCATTCTTATTTCTCCTTCTCACCCCCCTCTTCTTCCCCTTCCCCTTTCCTTTTTCTCTTCCCTTATTTTTCTCTTCTTCCTTCTATTACCACTACCTTACTATTCTGTTCCAGGTACCTACACAGATAGGGGTCACAGCAGTTTCCCAAACTTCCCAGAAACCCGTAGTTCCCCGGTCACTCTACAAATTACAACTTACTAACCCACAAAACGCCCACCTCACCGAAGCCAAAAGCAAGAAAGCAGAGGGGATTTCCTCGTCCACCGCAGGAGTGAACCGAACAACTAGAACCAAGCCCTATGAACTAAACGTGAGAGATCAAAACCATCAGTTTTCTACGCTTGCACTATCAATATTGAGTTGGATATCGGTTCAAATGGAAGATTTCCCACTCGCCTTGATATCTGAATATATGGACGGGCACAATATGTACTGAAAGTTTCAGTTTTGTTTGAAAGCGCGCTTTTCAAAAAGGACAGTGGGGTTCGACGAATTTTGATTAGTCTGTTATATTTACTGCGCTGGGGTTTATAACTCCTTGAACAAACATTTTTCCACCCTTTATCCAGTCTAATGACAGTTTCAAGGGATATCTGCGTAGTTTGTCGCAGAAATGTCAGCTTCTAAGCTAAGGCGATGGGTTGTCAGCTTTGCTCTCAGTGGACTCCTCCTGTGATTCCAGCCAGGTATCTGGTTATTGTGAAGCACTGCTTAATAGCCCTTTTGATGGTGGTTGGTATTTTTGTCCATGTTGTAGGTCCAAAAGTAAGTACCAAATAGGCCTAGAGCTAGTGAGGCAGAACTCCGACCGCCTTACGGCTGAGATCTCTACACAAACCAGCCCCAATCTAAAGAAGCCTTATGGCCATATAAATATCCGTCGAGTTAGCAGTAAAGCAAGTAGCGAATTCATCACTGTCACTGACTGTCTCCCCGTTAGCATGCCTTTGGAGCCGATCCCCTCAGTGATGAATGGTAATCTCACACTCGATAAGTGTCGAAAGAAAGGCCTGAAGAAGTGTAGGCAGGTCAGTTCAGTTAAAAACGGAACATTAAGTAACGGTCGTAAGTCTGGCAGAGTAACGACCACTCAGCCTAATGAAAAGCCGAACCATAAGCTGAACATCGCCCCTCCTACTCAGGCGAAAAACGTTCCGAAAAAAGCAGATCTTGCTTCCACCACCTGTAACCCAGGGCGGAAGCCACCTGCATTTCGCCACCCGCCTCTTTCAGTCATCAAGAAAAACTCCCACAGCCGGCACCTCAGGTCTTCCGAGTCACTCGCAAAAGGCTCATCAGAGGTCTGAGTCTGTATTCACAGGTTGGAATAGGCTCCAAAAGACAAACCATGACCCCAGTCTTAGATCACTCATACTCTTCAACGTTCAGGAAAGCGGCTCTTCCCTACTGACTGATCGTGGAGAACACGATCTTGACCAATGGAAGAGTGCGAACTCTTAGGAGCCTCTCCCTGCAGTCCATCTCCTCAAAGCCTAGCGCGTAGTAAGTTCTCCCCTAGAGGCTCTCCCAGACCTTTAAGAGTACCCCTTGGTAGTACACGTCAGTCCGAACACATCCTTCTGAAAGGTCATCAGTTAGCGAAACGTAAACTGTCTGACGTCAGGATTAGGCCTGATAGACCCTGGTCAGCGCGAGAACTTCGCAACAGCAAGAAGGTTCACTCTCAAGAGTTATGCTACCCGGTAATCATACACGGGATCCTCGAATGTTCGGGTACCGATACTGCCGAACTTATCCACGACACAAATCACTGGAGATATGTTGTCACCAAACTCCAAATCGATGTGAAGGCCGAAATAATTAATCGTCTTCCAAGGCCGGTTCACCTCTCGACCATATGTACTCCTAGGCTACTCCAAGTAACCCTTGACTCTCCGGACATGGTTAGAACTACCTTGGAATCCTGGTTTAATGCATCTGATACATTCCCTAGAGAAATAAAGATAGGCGAGTGCAGACCCAGGGAACAGAGGAAGACTGAGAGGCGTTTCAAGCGCTTACCGTTGGCCAGCGCACACCTAACGGTAGAACGGCTGGACGATGAGCAAGAGCATTTATCGACCTTGTCCCAGATCGAAGAACCCTGCACCAGTTCTCAGTCAAAGAGATCAGTTGATACAGTAGCTCTTGGTTTCACCGCCCTATCAAAAAACTTGTCAAAGCCGGCCATTCACAGGTTGGCAACTCATGCTTAACTCAACCGGTTGCTGGGACCTCCGGCCCTCATACTCTTATTCGCTGTACCTTCAGCAATGTACGAGGCCTACGCACCAAGGTACCTGGGTTAAGGTTATTAGTGGATGAGGAAAGTCCCAGCATAATGACTGTCTGTGAAACATGGCTATCAGAGGACATAGAAGACGAGGAAGTTCGTCTGGGACAGCTCAGCCTAATCCGAAAGGATAGACCGGAGAGTCCAGGAGGTGACGTTGCTCTTTGCACCCGCCCTTACTTAAAAGTCTATGGGATTCAATCTCATAGAATTGGCATTAAAGATGTCCTCTGGTGTAGCATTGAGTGCTGCAGAGGTCCGTGTTTAGTTGGAGTTTTATACCGCCCTCCTGCAGCTGATGCCAAGCTAAATAAAATGTTAATACAGTCCATCAGAGGAGCTCTAGAAATGAACTTCCCACAGGTCCTCATTGTGGGAGATTTTAACTTTCCTCAATTCTTTACCACGGAAAGTCCATCCACTGCTCTAAAGGACTTTCGGGAATTGTTACTGGAAAACTCCTTGACAGAACATGTTTCCCAGTGTACTTGTTGGGGGCATGACGGTAAGGCATCCCGACTAGATTACATTTTCGCAAATCAGTTCATCGAGATAAGCAACTTGAATGTTCTCAGACCCCTTGGCCTGGGTGACCATACAGTTATCTCCTTTAATATTTCTATATCTAGGCCATCCGTTCCCGATCAGCCTTTAGTCAGGAACTACAGGAGAACTGATTTCGAGAAGGTTCGGCAAGATCTGGAAGGTTCCGCTTGCTTAAATTGCGATGACCTACTGGATCTTAATGCTAGATGGGGTCTGTTGAAGGATATAATCCTACAGACAATAGAAGACAACACTCCTCTGATACCAAGAAGAACCAACAAGTTCTACTTCTCCTGGCTTAAGTCTAGCACGCACAAACTAATACGGCGTAAACGGTGGTCTTGGAATATATGGAGGTGCACTAATAGCCCTTTTGACTGGCTAAACTATAAAGACATTCGTAACAAGTGTTCAGTAAGGATCGGAAATGACAGAACAAACCACCAGACACAACCTTGTAGAACCCTGGAGGGGAATCATGGGATACTGTGCTCGTTGATGAAACAGAAGAGTAACAGTTCACTAAGTCTACAGGACCCCATTAGTTTGAAGATTCTCTATTCCAACTCCGAAGTATTCCAATAAGACAGACTTAGAACCCAAGGAACCACAGTTCGCTTATTCTACAACACGAAGTCTGAATCTGCTTTTATTAATCTAGCAATACTCAGTTCAAGGTCTCGAGAAGGGTGACCTTTCTCCCCGCGGAAAGGTTTTTTCTGTAGACTGCAGTCTAATGCTCTTTGTGAGTCTTTTTGTTTTCTCTGTCCACTCCGTTCCCATTCATATGTCCTGGGTATTTAGTAATTTTCGTCGTTAAAGATGTTCTTGATGAGTAGATCACCCTGATTTTCTATTTTACTGTGACTCATTTATTAAGGCAGCCAGTTTTGTTTGATGGGTTGAGATTAGAACTCCACTCCATCTACTCAAGTTTGGGCAGCCAAGTAGCGTCGTTAGCCGTGATTAAATCAGTTCGGTCCAATTCTTTTACTTCATCGTTTACCACAAATGACTAGAAGTCGTTATGGGTCTCCTCTAAATGAGTAACATTTTTTGTCATGATTGCTATCATGTCAGTCTCTACTTAAATTCAACGTTAGTGGTTTTTCGCCTTATCTGACTTTTCTGAAGTTCCTATTTTCCTATTTTCTCTGATTCTGTTAAGGTGTACGCATACCTGTTCGGACTAACACGTGGGAAATTATGCGGATTAAAGGAAGGGGAGGGAAACCGTCAATAGAGGGGAAAAGTAGGCAAGGTTAAAAGAGGGACGCGACTTTGGGGGAGAGGGAAAGACAAAAAGGTTGCATTTCTCCATGAATGTCGCTTTCTTTAGCCATTAATTTCCCCACTTATTTCCCCTTTATTCGAATTATTTCCCCGTTTTTAGTCTGTATGGGATTAGTACTTATTTTATCTTTTTTGGTTCTCTCTGTATTACTCAGTCAAAAAGTGTATGGGGAGTTGGGTTGGGATCACAGGATCCGATGTTGTACAAAAACTAGAAAAGTGCAGAAGAAATTTAAAATTATTTACGGGTCCCAGAGTTTTTGTTGGCAAGGCTTATCAACTGATCTAGTTGTATGGACAATAAATTCATCATGTGTATTAGGGTGTTTTTGGGTTTTGTAAGCGCAGGCTGTTAAAAGTTAGACAATGTGTAGCTACTAGTCACAAGAGATCGGACCACAAGCTAGCAATTTTGTTAGTGATTAAAGATTCGAGTTCCTTTGGAGAAGTGATTACGACAAACAATTTATAGTTCCGCACCTTCTGGAAGGCAACTATCTTGAATCTGCCTAAGGTAGGTCATATATGGCTTGCTTCTTTCTTATTACTTATCAAAGTACTTCGTAAGATGAAATGCTCACCTTATGCTGACCATCCATAAACCTCCTTTTCTAAACGAGTAGACAGTAGAGTTCAAATGATATTTTTCTAACAAAACGCCGTACTACTATCACCTAGCTGTATAACTAGTAACTCAACTTCACCGTCGAACCCTACATCAAATTGCTTTTAGTTTTACCATTACTCGAATGACTACTGAAGCTTGATAAAAAGTTAAGGGAGTCATCCTGTCCAACAGAAATAGTTAGGTTATTGCAATATTCATGGTCGTAACCGTCCATTAGAGTCTTTCCATTGTTCTTGGCTGACTTGCAGGAGTTTGGGAATCATGTTTCTAGTTGCCGTAAGCATAGCGTTACACTTGAGGTCGATGAATTAACTATTTTAACAAATATCACTTAACTTACACCTATGCACTATTTCACTGAGTTATTTAGAATGGGATTTTGAAAGTTAAGCCTGCTGATACTTATTCCCTCTCATGGATTACCTACAATGGTGTTTATCAAACTTAGTGTTTCGATTTGGGATACAAAAGTTCATTCAGTTCTAGCTAAATCATGCTGAACGTAACATTAACTCAATCCTAAAAGAATCGAGAAATAGCAGCAACCCTGGAAGTTTCTGACTCTAGCTTTCGGTTATATAGGGAAATGTAGGCCATCTGCCGATACTCATCGAATCCATGGGCTGTAACCCTTATTGACGTGTCTCAAAATTTATTATATGGGTACTGAAGCGTTTGCTCTTTATAGTTTTTAAAGATTTCACTACTCCTCAGTTACTAATCCTCTCCCTTCTCATATCCTTTTATTGCATTGGTATCATTCTTTTATTTACCACCTATATTGCTGTAGAATGATAAATAATGTAATTCTGTGAGATTCTGCTTCAATCTGTCTGCATAGGCTAATGCAGGCTATCTACTCAAGGTCTACCAATCAACTTGAATCGATAGTTGGAGACTGGGTACACATACACTAAATCTTAATCTAGATCTTAAGTTCTATCACCATTTTTATAGTTTTTCCTTCTCTCCAATGAATTGGATTCACCTCAAAGCAGTGTAAAATATCGCAACCTCAGTTGGTACTCAGTTATTTACTTCAGCATATTATGTATCTGTCCACCATACTGATATCTCCGAAAATTTGCAAGTTAGATATTAATCAATACCAGTAAAACCTTATTTTTCGACTCAACTGTTAATCAGTGCATTACAGTTAATAGAGTAATAGATATTCATTCATCATCGAATTTGGCACGATGCTAGTGGAAGTACGTGTAGTTTGCAAAATGGCTAAAAAGCAGCATCAGTCTGGATTCTTGAACCACCGGTTTTAGCAGTACGGAGAAATTTAGATTCCCAGGTTGATGACCGCTTTACGACTAAACTTAATCACCGAGACCTAAGCTTTATGGTTCTGAATCCTTCTGAGTGGTGCGGATGCGTTTCACTCATATTAATCTTGACCAGCCTGTTACCTCATTTTTGTGCAGCTCCCTCTTCCTGACTTTCTACAACTGTTGATTAAGTTTTTTCCATTTTTTTTATTTTCCATTTTGCTGACTTGTATCTTAGTGTACTGACATGAAGTACGACAACGTAATTCGTTACGTAGTATTACAAGGTCCTGTTGATATTATAACTGAATTAAGTTTTTCATGGCATTCTACGGTATTTTTCCTAATCATTTCATCTTCTTCTTTTGTATCATATGTCTTAATGTATAAATTCGTTTTGTTTTATCCTCATATATAAAAGGAATGCAAAAAATGAAGACCGAAACGACCCAACAGTTCAATGCAAATTTTGTGTCTTCCCTCCAAAAAGCCAACTGTGAACAAAATCCAAAGCAATACCGATGGCTAGAGCAGTGCTATGAGATAGTTATTTCTGCAAAATCTGATGATGATTTGCCTATTATCCCGATTGATGGAGGTTCAGATGCTGGTATGTTCTGCGTCGTTGGTGCCCAATTTGATCCTTCTCGGATAATTTATCATGGTCATGATAATAATTCTTCAAAATCTATGAAACCCGGTGATATAATTTTAGCTATCAACGGTTATGAACTCTCAGGATATACAAAACGTGATGCTGTTACATTGTGTAATGCTTGTCTACAGTCTCAGTCTCATGTTCGACTACATCTTAGTCCACCGCATGCTTTAGCAACAAGCAGTACAATGCTGTCAAGTTTTTTAGCCATTTCCTTTGCAATGGACTCACCGGAGTATGCTCTTCAAGAAAAAATACGAGAAAATGTATACCAGCGTGTAGTACCATGTAAGTGGATTTCTTGTATATGAGTTATTTATGGTGATTGAAAATGTAACTTTATAGTTGTTCGATTTTCTTCAAGCCTTGGTATTTTGTTGTATTCAGCAAGCTAGATGGATATACCAGCGCTTCATAAAAATCACATCATGAAAGCCATGTGATTTTAAATGATCTTTTCGCATGTTTATCTGCTTAAATTCAATTTTCGTAGAATCACACTGATGAGTGTGTGTGTGTTTTGCTATTGTGAATATATGATTTATCTTATTATGCCAACCTGTTTGACTGTTGATATAATTAAGATACTTCCTGATCGGTATATGTTTATTTTTCCGTAAATAAGTCGTTTGTTGAACCTATGTCTATGTGTTCGTAAATAGCCACTTTCTTTTTGATTACTAATGAAAGAGGCAGAGAGTATTTAGTCTCAACGTTTTGACCACTGATCGGTATCAGCTGGAAAGTCGTCGAGAACTAGGGAGCACTGGTAAACTTATGTTTCGGTTTGAAATTCAACAATACGGACTGATTTCTCAGAACGAGATGGGACCTATTACATTCGTTTTTGTTAGCTGGTTAGAGACAATCACTAGGAATCCCTGTACTTACGTTTCGTGCTTGTTAGCACTCATCAACAAGGTGTATCTGGAACTTCGAGGTAAGTGTTGTCTCCTCTGAGATTCGAACCCACTTCACCCAGTGTTGCAGGCAGCGACATTACCACCAACTAATCTAATCCGATCTTATAGGAGGTCAGTCGCTGCATGAATAGCTGATTAGTAACGTCTCTGACTACAATATTGAGCGACACTGTTTCGGATCTCAGAGGAGACATCATTTCCTTTGAGATTTCAGAAACACCTTACTGACGAGTGCCAAGGAGCACGAAACCTAGATTAAACAGAGGTTCCTGCCAGTTGCATATAACTGGCTGACATCCATCAAAGTGCGCCACGATAGTGAGCCTCTTAGCTTGGTGGCTACGGTGCAGAATGATCGATATAATTCGGTCAACACTCAAGGCTGGACAACATGAAATTGGTTGCTCTCCATCGACCAGTCAATGTACACTCGTTTTTCATGACTATCGTTTTATCATTCAGCCACGGTTTGGGATTCGGTGATCACTTTTCAACTGTGGTCAGTTTACAGTACAGCACAGGCATCATTTTGTATCATTGATAGGCACTCTTTCTGGTTTCTTATTCTCTTATATTTATGAGTTATGAAACTGACTGAAGGTGGAATATGAAATTCATTTACTACTAACTCAGTAATCGAATGATCATGTTCATACTTCAAGACTTGAAAGTCTAGGGACCCACTCCATAAATGAGGTAATTGGCGTACATTGCTGATAACTTCCAAAATAAAGTAAAACACTCGTCCAGCACTCCTTGGTTTTCAGTACATACGTTCCTAATGACAACTGCTTTGAATTTTATCAATTCCCCTGCAAAGCTTCTAAATGGTATTTGATTCAGGCTATTGCTTTAGTAGGTTATTTTTTTGACCCACTTTGTTGTCATGTCATGTTATGATAAACATCCAAGCCATAGTTGTTGCAAATATCCTGGAAGAAGTTAATCACCGAGTCAGGTTTAAGCATCATATAAACAAGTTTTAATATAATCCCAGCGTGTTAAAAAACTCAAAATCAAATTTTTCTGAACGTTTCGATGTGTAAGTAGTAATGCTACACTCTGCTTTCCGATAATTCTCTTGTTATTATATGCGAAAATATCTTGTTTATTCATGTTTTTCCTGTTTGTTTTGTTGATTTTCTATTTTTGCTCAATAGTTTGAACCTTTACAGTTGTGTGCAAGTTAGTAGTTTGTTGTGCATTCATTCGACCAAATTAAAAAATTCATTTTTTATCACTTGTGAACAGTTAGAATTACCTTCAGCAGATGTTATTTTACTGTGGCCTACTACTTATATCTGTGAAACCAAAACTCATACTAATAGTCGGTTCATTTTATCATGCCCAACATCCTCTACAGTCTTCAAGGTTGTACTTATTGTTAAACAACAATAATCATTTGGATTTATTTGGTAAAACTGTCTGTTTTATTCGAATTTCCAAGACTGAAAGTTCATGTAGTAACGTATCCAGGATAAATGTAGATTATTTTCAAATATTTTTCAAAGTTAATTGCATATTTTTTGCTTGATATATTTTAGGTACAACTAGACTGCCTAGAGCAGAAGAAGTAGATGGGGTACACTATCGTTTTATGAATGTGCCTCAATTTCTTGCACTTGAACGTAGCGGACAATTGTTGGAAAGTGGAATGTACAAAGGTAATTTTACTCTTTAGTATAATTGCTTCTATATCATACCGTCGTCTATTGGACCGAATTGATCGGTCTCTATTGGTAGTGGAATCCACTGTGGATGCTACTGCTAGCCACTATCATGAGTAGTATTACTTTGTTTTGGCATATCATACTAACATGTGTTGAATGTTTGCCTGTTACGTAATGAGTGTTATCAGAGATAAAACGTTATGTTACTTTTTACCACATTGAGTTTTATCTCAGGATCTATTAAATGGTGTTATTGCCTGCTCCGAGACAAATTGTTGGAGTTTTTTATTCTGGGAAATCCATACTCTAACTGATAACCAAGTTATTCCAGGGTTATCAGTACTAGTTGAGGCATAAAATCAAGATAGGCGGAATAGTTTCTAACGCATAAAATACACTCACCAACCTTGTGCACGTTTGTACAGTAAGCAATCAGCGACACATATTGTGCGAGGGCTAATGACACTACCTGGTTTCCTAAACCTCCGTAGATGGAGCGGGGCTTGAAAACAGGACCCATTGACTGAAAGTCATCTCCCCAAATCAATAACCCACAGCTCCCAATTTTCACTTGCTAGAGGTGTTTTGAGAGGTTATTTTTCTACAGGCCTATCTGTTTACATTGACGGTGTTTCAGTATAAAGCTATACAGACTAGTGAATATAACATCGTAATGGTAAGTAGAATAAATATTGAATTATGCTCAACGATTAATTGTGCTATGGGACAGTGATATATACCGGAGAATGACAAACGCTAAAACCAACAAACTGAATGAATATCGACGCAGAATAAAATGTTAACTCATATAATATTTATATAAAAAATTTGAAGACCACCCTAGCAACTGGTGAAATAATCAATCAAGATTGAATATCTCGACTATGAAGGCGGTTTTCCACAGAATAAAGAAACTGAGATGTTTATTTCAGTAGTTGCTAGAGTGTCGTTTACATTCATTCTAACTTGAGCCTATAATAAGAGTAGACTGAAGATTACTACTTAGTTTATGAATTTGAAAGTAGACTGAAAATCTAAAGATCTCATCATCATTTGATGTTAAAAATTCGCATATATTGGGTAGTTGTTACATCTTAACTGAAGCTCTGACCTACTTTGTCTCTATGACTAGAATACCTGTTCACACTGTCATGTCATTCTGAATATTCGTACTGTCTTTATAATACTACTATTTTTGCTATTCTAAAGTACACATCCTCATCCTCGCTATCGTTGACCCACAAATTACCTTGATTAGTTCATTTTTTTAATACATATACTGAAAGCGGTGTATATTAGAGTGAAGCGTGAGATCTAGTTAAAAACAATACCGTTCCCTTACATGTAAAGAGTTATTATCCTCTTTTATTCGCTTTTAAATTGGTTCATGTTGTAAGTACAACTTGACTTAATCTAATCTACTTAGTAGAATTGTCGCTTATTGGTTTGGGTAGTTGATATTCTACCAGTGGATCACAGGTTGGAACGCTGCTCCACCTACTGCACAAACGTGTATATGGTTGCTGAGTGCATTTCGATTTACTATCTGCTTAACTATACACTAGACTAGATGTTTGAATTCAACACGTCTTTCACACTATTGACTAAATGTGATCAAATGCTGACTATCTCAAGGTTCAACTGAGTAAATATCGAAAGGTCGAATGACAATGTATTCATTATTTAATGTAGTCTTGACTCAAGGATTAAAACACTATTAAGATGTACCAGTCAGTTTTATACGAGTATATGACAAATGATAGTAATGATGGATAGTAGCTAGCAGCTGAATTTAAGAGGCTCATTTCGTCCTATTTGGGACTCGTCGGCTGGATGTACCTGCTTCCCAGTGAGTGGTGTTGTTGCCAATAGAGACCGTTCAATTCGGTCCAATCAACGACGGTATGATATAAAAACAACCATATATTATGTATGACAAATGATTAAGAAATGTTTGTATGGAGCTAATAAATTTTTGTAAACAGATTTAAAACTTTAGTTTCATCTCTATCATTTCACGTCAGTGGTCACAGTCTGTCATAAGGAAACCCTATCGTCGTAGTGAATTGCTAGAATACATGGAATAGTTATATTAGCATGATTTAAGTCCCTGTCCTGAAGTAATATGGCATATCTGTTACTCAGATGGATGATTTCGGTTGTGTTATGTTCTCTGAGCTAGATGGTTGAATCATGAGCCCTTCTTTGTCTTTCTGGGCAATATCGTCATCAACTTCAATGCGAAATGAGTTATCAGCATTTCTCCATGTGTGCCTTAACAAAGTGATGTGTGATTGATGGTTTCCTCCGATTATTGTGGCATTGACTGCACAGATTTCATTATTAGTCATTTCTCTGTCTGGAATTTGACCTTGTAGTTGTTGATCATCTTCTTTATTGATTGGTGGTAGGTAGGGTGTGCGTCTATTGGGGCGTTGATTGGTGAATGACGTGAATGCCAAGCTTGTAGTAGTTCTCTGGATAGTCTTTGTGTCTCCTTTGTTAGAGATGTGTACATTTTCCAAGTCGAATTTATATACATATTTGTTGATGTGGATTGATATAGGAGACGAAATGTGGAGACGTTCAATAGGCAAGTGATGTTCATTTATATGAAGGTGATGAGATTGACCGTTTTATCGACTGTATTGAGGATCGTAGTTGTTGCACTTGACTTTGTAAGCGACATTCAGTTTATCTTTAACTGTTGGCATACCTTGGACTGTATAACATTGTCTAAGGGGAATTTATGGGTTTATCAGCCACATCAATGCCGAATTGCCGTGGTAGTGTTGTCGTGATTTGTGCAATGTTCTTTACATATAGTAGGATGGCCCGCTTGCTTATTTCTATGAATGACTTTGTATTTGATGATAAACTGGATAGGTATCTTCTGACAAAGTTGTGAAGCTAACGGTTCCTCTTAAGGACAGTCATGAAGCTATTTTCTTTTTTTCATGTACTGCTGTATGTTCTCGCTCTTTTGAATAAAGTCTGTACGCATCTACTTTTGAATAGCGCAATAAGAACACCGTTTGTAGGCTAAGATGACGTTATTTGTCTCACAGGGTATTCTTCGGTTGCGTACAACCTGAATAAATAAGTAAATCGCTATAACAAATAATAACATACATTATATGGAGCATTTTAAGATCAAGAAAACATGACAATTCTGAACACAAAGGAAGTTCAGGTTATAAATCTTGATAAACTACGTAAGGTGAGAAGTATTCACGAATGAGTGAGATAATATTTGAAGTAAGTAGAAGGAGTTGCGCAATCATGTGGAAATATTATGCTAACAAAATGATAAGTGAGTGAGATAAAGCTGTCGTAATAGTAACAAATACAGTAATCATGAAACGCTAATCAAAATGAATATGGATCTGAATAAGCACAAAATATACGTATTCGAAGTATTCTTGGGAAAGATGAGTGGATGAAAAATCAGCAGTTACTGGGGCAATAATAAATTGGTAACTGTCTTCTTTTGAGCACATAGTTTCGGTTGAACTCGTTAGATAGTGATGGCTTCAGCAATTTGAAGTAGACTTGAGATCCTTTGTCTGTTGACTACTATGAAGCATTTCATCACATCTACTTGATGTCCCGTATCACATAGTTGACGAGCTATTGCACTCCATTTGTCCAAATCAACATAGGACCAGGCATTACTGCCTAACGGTCCGAGTTGCCACGGCTCATATTAGTACGTCAAGTAAAAGGGCAGTGAAGTTGAAGATGAAGAAAAGAAAATTCAGTCAAAAGAAACATCAAGTAATAAAAGAGAGAAGTGAAGAATGAGAAAATGGTGAGATTCGGTATAGCGTTGTTAAGATGAGGATAATGTGTGTATACATCTGGCCCCCATTGACATCGGTTCTGAACCATACCATCACATAGAGTCTCCAACCACTGGTTTCTCTTGTCCCGCTGACCCCAACCACCTAGTCTTCATCGTCCCACATGGCTTAAACCAACAGTCAAAGACTTCATACATTAGTGCCATGTTTTGATCTGGCCGCCTCGGGCCTTTTTCCAGTCTGGACCTACTTCGACCAACATTGCACTGCTGAATGAGGATGCACCTCTGAAACGTAGATTCTTTAGCAATCCTAGCAGAAAAATGTCTCTCTGTTCTTCCTCCATACTTGCTACCGCATACACATATGATTTGATAAAAACAGTTGAAACTTTGTCTAATTTGGATTGTGTAATTACGTATATTGTTTAGTACAGTAAGAAAAACCTTGCAGCCGGACAGGTCTTGGATAATGCACTCCTAATTCATCTGTTGATGTCGTTGAGAACGTTTTTGATCAAGTTTACACCTTTATTTGTCATATTCTCGTTGTTCAATGTACTGAGTTGAAGTGGTTGATCTTTTTTTTGATGATTGGGAGCCTTGTTCGAAGTTTTACAATGTTACTATGGGTCAAGATCTTAATTTACTTGCTCAGTAGTAGCGTCGAAAACTTTAAGAACTTAATACCTGCATTTCAGTGACTCAACATCATAATCTTCGAAGTAATTACTGCTTTATCGTTGCATCAGTAAAGAAATCAATATTTTCTGGAACATACGTTCATCCTAGTGATAAGTTCATTGTGCGACAAAATATATGTCGTGAAATCCCGTTGTTAACAGCTGGCAAACATAAAATTTGATGACTTTACTGGTTGTTTACGGGTACCCTGCAGTTTTCAGTGATAAAAGCGGCTGGCTTGTGTGTGTGTGCGTTTGTAGTTCAAAATCGATTTTCTGCATTTTCACTTGTCTTCTTTCCATAGTTATTTATTCTAGTATTTCGCTTTTTTACCATTAATTCCATTTCTGATTATTTTCTGTCTATAGTCTACCGCTTGTTTCCTTATGAATAATTCATTTCTCTTTTTACTGGTTATTTTCTCTCTCCGCTATTTACTAGTTTTTGTGTGGTCGTAAATTATGCTAGACTATGAATTACAATCCTTCTAGTCATATAATGTCTATTTAAGTGTATATGCATGTTTCAAGTTGTCAGTTAATTTATGCTTATTTCTCTTTCAATAGTTTCCTCTTTCTGGTGTTATTCATAGTGTTGGTGATCATCATCGCCAACACCACTAACTTCAAATGAGGTGAACAGCCTGTGATATCGTGTTAACCAGCATTTTATTGTCTTTCTATATGTTTCATTGTGTATTCACTACTTGAGTGTTTTTGTTCTGTTTTACACTTTGCTAAAACTACAGTTTAACACACTGTGTTGTTACTACTTAGACCACAGTTTTAAAGGTATGCATATATAATGAGATGAATCAGACAGATAAATTTGTTAGCCAACAGTAACAGACTCATTGATTGACACACATTCACAAAATCCATAATACACGTACTCATTATCGAGGTGCTTGATAGACAGATTAGAAAATAGGTTTGTTTGCACAACGTGAAAACGATTCATATGATAATAGTTAAGTGTAGTGATAATCTTTCAGAGATATGATGAGTTGTTCACATTTGTTGTGTAGAAAACATGAACATTCCCTTCCTGTAGCCGGCCTGCTTTCGTTGGTCTAACACGAGTGTAAGTATTAAGTAACTTTAAAGGTCATGCTAGCAACTTGAAATCTACCTAGTTTATGATGAAATCTATTCATGTGATTGTTTTGGTGAGAAAGATAATCTTTCTTGTAGGCCAAATGAGCATATTTATTCATATTTTGAGTAACTTATCGTCTTGTCATGTAGTTCTTGTGGTGGACTTCACAGTCACATGAAGTGTTCAATTTAAATGAGTATATGGGGCTCTAATTTTATCCGTCTGTAAGAAACTTATCAAATGCACTTCCCCTTTGAAAATTACCTGATCATTAACAAGCCTGTCATCTAATCAACTAAATCCCCTGTGATGTTATAAAGTTGTATATTGAATATTGCTCTAACCTATTCAGTTCCGTTATCACAGTAAGGGTATTATAGCCTATTCAGTAAGTCTGATCGTGGTTAAATATTTCTGTTCGTATATACTTATTTCAAAGTGGTATATCCTAGATCTCCTGATGAGAAACTGTCATCGACGACCATATGTGGACAAATATGTACTAAAAACAATCGAATACGTTTAAGATTGTGGCTCATCGGTGTCAACACAGTTGACCATGGGTTCAAGTGCCACGACACTTGAGGAGATTTTAAGAACCAGGTAGTATCACCAGCCGTCACACAATTGGTGTGACTCACTGCCCTGGGCAGGATGTTTCATTTGGTTATTGAGTTGCATTTGTTCAGTAGAACACATTGCATAACTGCACAAATATTTAAACAGCTGACAATAGTAATCACTAGGTTGTCTTGGTTGATCAACAGCATTTTTCACGGCTGTTAGACATATAGATAGACAGACAATGTCAACATTGCGTAGCGGTCCAGGTTGCCACACTTCATATCAGCACATCAAGCGAGAATCTAATAAGGTGAAAGATAAAGAAGAAATCGGTCGAAAATGGTAGGAAGAAGTAAAAAGAGAACGTGGAAGAATGAGAGAATATTGAAATTCAGTGTGACATTTAAGATCAACTGAAATGAAGGGTGTATTTAAATAAACGCAGCGCACTCAACTATCTTGTGTACATCCGTGCAGCAGGCAATGAAACACATTTGTTGTGTGAAGGTTAGCGATGCCATCTAGCTGTCCAAACCTCGGTAGGTGGAGCGGGGCTCGAACCCGTGACCCAGTGGTCGGTAGTCATCTCCCTGTTTGAGTACCGGGCCGATAACCTGGATACTGCTGGTTCAAATTTTTCTACGATCGGGGTTTTCGTTTCATCTCCAGTCATCATTCCATATCACCAAATCAGTACTTTATAAACTAGTCGGTGTTGTACTGTATGAGATAACTCTTTCAACGTCTAGACACAGTTTTTAAACGATGTATGTTATTACAAGCTAAAATGTTTCAGGAAGAATACGCTTGACAGTTAAGTTTTGACTGGGTTGACAATTTTGGCTGATGAACTTGACGTAATGTAATCTTTCTCATTCATTTCCTCAAATATCTGCAACTGTTGTTATTTTATTGTTTGACTAACTGTCACTGTAGCTACTTTTCTTCAAGCTAGTTAACGTAACAGAAGAGGTATATTGTGTGAATAGAATTTCTAAGAAGGTCTCTTTCAGTATTCTCATTATTTACAATATACACCTGAGTATTAGATCATCAATCTGAAAGAATTTAATACAATAACCTCAAAGCTCTTATATGTTTAGGCTAAACGGATTACTTGATGAACTGTCTTATTGACTAACCCAGTTTTGTAATCATATTCACTATGTCCAACTCCCACCTAATAGGATGTTTCGTAAATGAGAATTTAAGTGTTTGAAGGCATTCTTGTCTTACTTCCTTAGGCTACCTATCCTCATAATTTCTGCCATTTGTGTTGCTATTCTCATTACATTTCTTATTGATAATTTCTCGTGATTATGGTGACTGGAAATGTAACAGTTTGGATAGACAAACAATTGTACCAAGTTTCGTGTTCCACTTGTGTGCGTCTATCTACTTAGTCATAAGGTAAAAGATAGTAATTACTCTTGGTTTTAGGGTTCACTTATGATGTAGGCTTCTTTTCAGGATGTTTTTACTGTTGGTAACCATACGTAAATGTACTTGAAATCTGATAGTTTGAAATGTTTCTACGAATAGAGTATTGTATGGCCTGTTAACAATAATCTTCAGTGGATTTTTGTTTCATTGAATAGAATATACCTTACTTGCTATCCAGTGGTCTGATATGCACAATACCAGGTTGAAGTATATTGTCGTCAGTGTTTTAAAGAATTGTTTTCATGATGGATAGTGGTTAGGAGTAGAATCTAAGACATACGTTTCGTCTTATTCGGGACTGAATTGGATGTACCCATCTCCAAGTGAACGATGTTGCTCCCACTAAGACTCTAACCTAGAATCGATCGCATCAAACGCCAGAGGGTTATCTACTAGATCACCAAGTCACCATAGCCACTTCTTGGGCGTCGGGTATAGTTTTTGTGTTGTTACTTGTATTTTTTTAAAAACGTTTCCGAGAGTACATTTCCGTGTTCTTGTGTGTGTGTGTGTGTGTGTGTGAATGACGTTTTTAAAAAAACATTTTTCATTTTCCTACCTATATTTTAGGCAATCATTATGGTACGCCTCGACCAGATCCTGATTCTACCGCTTTGGATAGTATATTCCTGGAGCAATTTCAAATGTCATCGACTGACATTTCTCAAATTAGTGATGATGCGTGCAGAATCCCACCTCCATTACCACCATTGAGTTCTTTAATACATTTGGAGTGAACGGTTGTGTTGGAGGTGCTGGTGTAAAATTAAGCGATTCCATTCAACTGCCTACCTGTTCCCCACCACCACCTCCTCCAATACGTAATTCATCAATTACAAAAAATTCTAATATTACTTGTAGCAATGGTAAATCAAATGGTTTTCTTGCTTTATGCAAAAATGACAGTTATGTTTCAAAAGCATCAGATAACAGTGACAATAAACATTTAAATGGATTAATCAGTGATTTTGATAGTAAGATATATCTTCCTCGTCCCAACTTTAATAATGAGACCAGTTTATGGTCACCGGTTGGATTACATACAAATGGTGACAATCAGTCTTCATTTATTAATACTACTACTACTACTACTGCTACTACTACCACTACTACTACTAATAATAATAATAATGCCTCTTCTACAATCAGTTCTAATCATGTCAGCACTTCTAGAATAGACGGTTGTACACCTGTTGATGGCATCGATAGCGTAAGTATGATTTGATGTGCCTGTTTGTCTGTGTTGTACAGTGTTTTCTGATAATTTTTCCCCTTTGACTACTCTAATCTAAGGTCATAATGAATATGGATGTGCCATTTTCCCTTTTATATATGTGTATTAGGCACAGTCTGTTACGTATTCATTTATTCATTCGAATTCACATCTATTAACTGCATAGATTACCTCCCTTGCTCAAGTACTCACATAGACAATCATTCATCATATGAAGGTTTGTATATGGAATTGTGAGTTATACGTGTTACGTGTCAGCTAGTAATGTTAGGTGGTAGACGGAGGAAGTTTGAACCTGTGACATAATGATTGACAGTAAGGTATTGAGGCTATTGAGTTGCAGTACTTCATTTGACTTTGATTAAATGTGGGGGCTGAAGTGTTTTGTACTGTGACATCTCTTCTGCTTATATTCATTCAATTTCATTGAATGCTCACGAAATGGTTTATTAGATTGAACAATCAACTGTGGGATTCTATTCTCCCTCTCAGAGTTCAGATGTTCAACAATAATAGTTTATGTAACTGGTTGTTGATCGTTAGTTAAAGTATTGGGAATATCTGTCAGATTTGATTTAAAAAAAAGAGAGACTTCTATCCAACTACGGCCACCTAAAGGTAGACACGAGTTTCAACCAGTAGGCCACAGAGTGAAAGTCCACTCCATCTACCTAGGTTTAGATAAAAGAGATTGTATCATTGACGTTATACTATAGGTGTAGTTCACCGCTTTGTACACCAATCTTTTTGATATTTGCATCTATATATTCTCTAATTCTATGGTCAAGTATAGTTTAGTAAATAATATCGCACAATGAAAAAGAATTATTTTCTGGGACTATTTTACTACCGATAATCATTATCAAGGTAGCATCATGACTGGTTCTTCAGAAATATAGTTCTAAGCTTTCCGCTTCCTGTTTTACAGGAGGAAGTAGGATTTTCCAAGTATCTGAAGCATGCTCTCTGTCGATTTCGCTGAATAAATTTAGTATTGATTTTACAAAAGAAAGCTGCGTTATCAATCTTTCCCATCCAATTAAGTTAGTCTTCATGTTCGTCACTTGCTGTTAGGTTCAGATCTATCTGTATCTTAGTCTAATACTCCTAAACACCCTTTGGGCTCATCTCTTTCTCTGTTTTTAATCCTTAAGCAGTATAATTCTGTAATAGATTGTGTTGAAATAGGTAGTTCTCGCTTATGACATAGGTAAACATATAGTGTGTGTGAAGCAAGAGAATGGTAACTGCAAAGCTTATCATAGTGACAATCAACTCTTGTCAGATTAAGAAGGCAAGCTATCTGATCGGTAGTGTTTACTTTGTTTCAATGTGATATTGTCTTGTACATGGGACAGCCTATACTTTTAATGTGTACATATGATTTTCCTTGTCCATAATTGCGTATTTTGCGCTGTCCAAACGAAGCTTCTAGTCGTACAATTTTACTGACATTTCTGCATACACACCTACTGTATGAACCTTTCATCTAAATCAGGTGACATAATATTTGCATCGTGTATTCGATGTAACTAATCACTGTATTTCTATTTCTTATAATCTGACAGTAAGAATGTTTACTTGTCATGGTTTATACAAAGGTGTCGAGGCATACTTCACTTTCCCTAAGCTGCATTAGTGACATGTGATAGTCTATGTTTCATCTTTTTATTGCTAGGTTCTTAGTCACCGCATTCCTTGGTCGTAGACCATTGTTTTGCACTGAAAATTAACATCTTTTGAAGGAGTAAGCTTATGGTGGTAAATACTCTACTAAGGGATAGCTCGTATGTCTGAATAAATGAAGTTAAAACTGATGTGTTTCAGGTGAATCGTTTCTTTCACAAATATCCTGTCACGGCACTTTGATCTTTTATCAGCACCAGTTAGAGAACTATGAAAAACCAATGAGTAATTCACATCTTTTTCCCTTTGGTTTGGGATACCACAACACTACACTATCTCACATTGAATCAAGTTCGTAGTTGTCGGGCTTTGCAGTGATCATACTACCATTTGATGATTGCATTTAAATCCAGTGGGTTGTATCTCAAAATTTCTGTTTATACCATGATCCATTTTTCGAGCAAGTTGACGTTGAGTAGGGTGAATCAGTGAGCGTAGGAAAACACAGACCATTAAATTTCAACCCTATGTTGAATCATAGAATATTTACCATAATAGCTGACTCTTCTGTGCTCGATTTTATCTGAATTTATAGGTTCGGGTCGTTGTAAAGCTTTGAATTAGGAATAACCAGCTGTCCAGCACCGCTTGGTTTCTGATAGTTCTCTGAATGGTACTGACCTGCCAACAAAATTCAACGAGAAATCTTTCTTGTTAAGAGATATTGAAGTTAATAAGCAGATAGTTACAAGAATAGATTAACTAAAGAATAGTCTATTACTTATGTTCTTGTACTAAGCAATCTCAGTACATTTAACTTTTGCTCAAGTTACAGCTCGTTGTAACAGTACTCGATGAAGCGAGGTGAAATTTCATTCCAAAGGTTTGTTATAAAACTGATTATAACCTATTTAGCTAGTTAGTTTCTTCGTTTTTCCCCCCTTTCAAATCGTTTGCTGCTTTTGTCATGCATGTTCATCATTAATCATCATTTTATAGAGGATTTTTTATAACATCCTTACCAAATGATGTAGTTTCTTTTCACCTTCTTAGTTGTGTAAAGCACAAATAGCCTACTGTGTCACCTATATCGCTTCGTTTTATACTTTTTTACTCCTACGTTCTACTTGACCAATATATTAGTTAGTCTATATGGAGCTATAAATTGAATGTCTACCACATTACATCGATTTTGAGTCACAGCAATAACTTTTCACTTGGCGTTTTACATAAAATTAGTGACCTATGGAACATTCATTCTGAAGTTCTACCTTTGACTGTCGTATTTAATAAACATCTTTTTAACACCAAATTGATCCTAATTATTCAGTTTATTTGTGTTTATTTCAAGTTTGCTTTAACCCTATTTTGTTCGTTTTGCTTAGTATTTTTGTCTTTATTGCGTGACCAGCTGAACTGGTTGAACTGGGTTTTGTTGTTATCAAAGATCACAACTGGCATCCGTATTATTTCAGTTATTGTGTGTGTATTTGTATGGCTTTTGCATAAATTGTAGGTCATTCACTTTCTATTGATCTCGGTTACTAGTGGAGGAATCCAGGACTCACGTTTTGTCCTATTTGGGGCTCGTCAACTGGATGTACCTGTACAACAGTGAGCGTTGTTCCCACTAAGACTCGAGGCTTAGTGGATAACCCTCTGGCGTTTGAGGCGAAGGGTACTGGGTTCGAACCTCAGTGGGAACAACTTTACTCACTAGAGTGCAGATACATTCAGCTGACGAATTCTAAATAGGACGAGGCACGCGTCCTAAATTCCTCTGCTAGTCACCAAGCTCAATAGAACATCATGAATATGCGGCAGTATCGAGGCATCCGCGTAGAAATCCACCTGCCAACAAAGGTCATACAGTCATTCATTTTCCTTTACGTTTATTTTTATGAGAGAAATATATATGAGTAGGAAGAATGCATTAGAGATGGTTGAATGACATTTTAAATTGATCTTTCTGTAAAATACTCATCAGTAGGCTCTCGTCATCTTTGGAGCTTTAAGAGCATTATTGTCCAAAGGGTTGGGTCCACCAAAGTTCTAAGCAACCACTTGGATGTTCATGCACCTCAGATACGAAGCAACTCAAGACCTAGTCATCGGTTCAAGTTGGCACAGTGCGACAGTATGCGATGAAGAAATGGATAGGAGTTTTGATTGAGAGAGAATAAATGGATGATTTGTGAAAGATTTCAAGCATTCGAAGATGTTAAAGAATGCATAGGCTTGTGTTTCTGTGATCGATTTTAAACCATATTATCAAGATTCTACAACTATTGGTTCCTGTCACCTCGACGACACCAACCATGTAATCTACGTCTCCCTACATAGCTTAGATCAACGGTCATGGACTGGTGCTATTTTCTGATCGGACCATCCTCAGCCTTTTTCCAATCTAATCCTACTCTTTCCAACACTGCACATCATGTACACTGCATTAACTTAGCATTTACAATACATATCCAAGTTACTTTAGTTGGTGAGGTTTCACAACTTCATCAGCTGATTTGCTTTATTCGTCTAGCATTCTGTACCTAACCTCACAATTGCTCACATGGTGATTCTACCCTTTGCGAGAAATGCTACGAAGATACATGCGGTCAAAAACCTGTAACTTCTTCATACCTTATTTTTAATGGCCATATGTCACTGCCGTATAATTGGACAAAGCGGAAGTGTTGCACATTACACTCGTTCCTTGATTGGTAGTCGAACATCTTGCTGTGGGTAGAGATGGTGTATGTTAGCAAGTGCCGATCGGGCCTTTCGTATTTAAACCGAGATTCTGTCAGTAACCAGATTGAGTAAGTCAGATGGTCAATGCATTCTACCATTTCACTCCTTATCCTTAAATTAGGAATTGGTGAGGACCAGTCTTGAAGCATCATCTTAAATTTGACAAGTGCAAAACGGATATTTAAAATACTCACTTGTCCCTCAGGGTATTCAGAAAACTGTACAATGTTCAACATTTTCCCCTAACTGGACAATGTCGTTTGGGTACTCCAAGTTCAACCAGTTCCTCTCTTGGGAGTAAGTCATTGCTTGATAAGTCGGATGTATCTGGCGGTTACGTCCATGATTTAGGATATATGCTAAACATACATAGTCACCATCTACCTCTTCACCCATTGTTAGCGGAAGTGGGTTTAGGTTGGTAAAAAATCAAAGGGAATTAGGTTATAACTTGACATCTAACTGTTAGTTTGAACTGTGTCACTAAATGTGTAGAGCTTCGGTTTTTGTCCTGGTTGATATTCTACAGCAACTTTTGGAGACTAAGTGATACCACTCAGAATCAATCTTTATCTTAATCATCATACTTGGTATGGTTTTTT